AACCAGGCTGGATCCGACCCAGAACCAGGCTGGAACCGAGCTAGAACCAGGCTAGAACCGAGCCAGAACCAGGCTGGAACCGAGCCAGAACTGGGACAGAACCGGGCGGCGGGGCCGTGGACCCCCCCTCTCCTCTCAGGCTGGTTCCCTGGTCGGTGGCGGCCCTCTGGGGGTGGCTGTAGACGAGCAGCTTCCCGTGCATGGTGGCGTCAGACGGGGCGTAGACGGCGAGCCGTCGGCACACGATGTCCAGCCGTCTGTGGACCCGCCGTCCTGAAAGCAGCGGGCAGGCCAAGGTCAGGCTCTGGGGAATGTCAGATGAAGAGCAATGTAATGCCAAGGTCAGAACAATGTCATGCCAAGGTAATTTCAATGTCAGATCCAAAAAGTCACGGTCGGATAAAAGAAAGACTCAAGGTCATTATTTTAAGGTCAGACCAAAATAAAGTCAAGGTCATTTCAAGGTCACACAAAAAGTCAAGGGCATATAAAAAATAAGTGAAGGTCATTTCAAGGTCATACAAAAAGTCATGGTCATTTTTTTTTTTAAAAAGTACCATAAATTCAAGGTCAGCCCCAAAAAGTCAAGGTCGTTTCAAGGTCATGACAAAAAGTCAAGGTCATGACAAAAAGTTAAGGTCATATAAAAAAAGTCAAGGTCGTTTCAAGGTCATAAAAAAGTCAGTCATTTCAAGTTCATAACAAAAAGTCAAGGTCATATTAAAAAAGTCTAGGTCATATTAAAAAAGTCAAGGTCATATTAAATAAAAAAGTCAGTCATTTCAAGGTCATAAAAAAGTCAAGGTCATAAAAAAAGGCAAGTTCATCTCAAGGTCATAAAAAAGTCAAGGTCATTTCAATGTCATAACAAAAAGTCAAGGTCATATAAAAAAAAATCAAGGTCATTTCAAGGTCATACAAAATAGTCAAGGTAATTTCAAGGTCATACAAAAAGTCAAGGTCAGATTTTAACAAAAGTAATGTCAAGGTTGGACTCAGGTGAAGGTCAGACGAAGGTCAGAGTTCCGTTGAGCTGTTGGACTCTTACCGGCTGGCTCCATAGTGTCCCTGCATGTGGATTTCTGTCGTCCTCCTGTCGTCCTTCACACAGCTGCACGAACTCCACGGCGCCGCTCATGCCTAGAACTGCTGCAGACACACAGAAGGTTGGTACCGACCCACATACTCACCATCACTCCTCTGGAACAGCAGCTTCCTCCCCTCATCCATTAGGGGGGAGGTCCTCTCCACCTGGACAGCCTTCATCACCTGGAAAATGAAGAATGTAAGGAGGTCAGGACCTTACTCCTCTGTTAATTCAACTAAAAGGTGATGAACCCACCTCACAGGCTGCCCAGGTAGGAGCCACACCTCCAGATCGTGAGAAGAAGAAGAAGAAGGGTGAGTTACCCTCGCTTTAAATTACTCCTTTAGATTTCATTTGCCCTAGTCCTCCTTTTTATTTCCCCTAACCACTCTCAATGGACCAATAGGACACTTTTACTGTGACTGACACAGCGGTTCATTTCCTCCTACCTCTTTTCTCTTTTTCCCTCACTGTCATGTCCAGACCTGGAGGGGGGCTCTCTCTCTCCCTGGGCCCCCGGACTGCATCCCCTGATTGGGGACATGGAGCCCGCTGATGGAAGCAGAAACCCGGTCCCCGTCCCCTAACGTGTGCCAGCAGCCGCTGACGTGGACTTAAGCCTGGCATCCTGAAGACTGCCCCCCCCCCACAGGCAGAGAGAGCGGCTCCACAGAAGGATCTCCTCTGCAATTTAAATTTTCTGTGAGGAAGCCATCTGCCTGAGGAAGATCCCGTTGAGGGATCGAAACGTTGCTGTGTTATAGCTCGCTATTTCAATTTCTTTAATTAATTTGTTTAAATAAAAAGTACTTATTTTTTATGTCGTGGGTTCTCTGAATTAATGTTTTAGCACGAGTACGGAAGACTTCTCTTTTTCACAAAAGTTTTAAACATCTTTCATCAAAACAATAACTATTAGCACGACAACTTACGTGATGGAGGATGAACGGGACCAGCACTGGACTGCAGTGCTGTACCGGAGAGGACAGAGGACTCCTTTCCCAGAGCGGCCGTTCAGCAACTCATCCCCCTGATGGACAATACCAGGGTGGAGGTCAAGGTTCAGTCCAGAATTCTTTCATTTATAAGGAAGACCATTTTAAATAAGGGACTTTACTCATTTCTGATTAGTGACAAGTGGTCCACTTTTACATAGAATAAAATATGTAAAAATACACCTACCCATGTTTATTAATCATGTGAGCCACCATTATGTTCACCATCTGTCTGGCATCACTTGGGTTTCTGTTGTTTCATACTCCTGCAGAACTTCTTCACCACCAGACTTGCTTTGAAGGACACCTTCAACCTGCTATGAAATTAACAGAAAGGAAATGTATGGCGATATTCAGATTTCCCAGATATGTCCCAGCAGGGTGAAAGGGTTAAGAGGTGCAGAA